CTCTCCAATTCTTATTTTCTTCATCTATGGAAATGGGATAGCAATTCCCACCCTAGGATTGTAGTAAGGATTGGTCTTGGACCAGCTTCTGATGGTTCTTTGAGAATTTGCTTAAGAACAGATGGGGCAAGAGGGGAGGTTGGAAGGTCAAAGGTGAGCAGAGGGGACTGATGTGCCCAAGGACGTTTGGAAGGAACACATCATTGCATTCACAGAATTACTGTGTCACACAAGATGGTGGTGGTGGTTACCACTAGATGGTGGAATTGCTGAATCTCCTGTTCCTCTTTGGTACTTTTTGGTGGTTTTCCCAGATTATCTACAATGAACATATATTACTCTTGTAATCAGGGGGAAAAAGTAAATGTTACTTTTTAAAAACAAGAAGTTCTAATTTCTAAATGATTGATTCAAAGATCGTTCAAGCACAGGATCATGACCCTGAGTTACAGGCTGGGGAGTGGGAATTGAAAGGGGTTGGGGGTGGTGCTGAAAGGGAATGAGAATAAGTCTGGGATTGTTGAGGGTTTGGGCTCCAGTGGGTGGTGGTGGGGATCTACTGGGTGCTGGCAATCCCAGCTGGGCTAAGCCATCTTGAGGGGGTGGTGGGCAATAGGAAGTCCCAGGACTAGGCTGCCACTCCTGCATGGACTCCCTCTCCCCCAGATTAAGTTGAGAGGTGTAGGGGCCTCAGGAGATAGGACACCTCACTTTAGAGACCCCTCCCTACACCCTGGTAATTAGAATTTGGAGATTCCCATGAAAGGACTCAGTGAATGCCCCTCGATGAACAAGGACAGCCCTATTCCCCCTGTCTGAAGGTTTGCTGTCAGAGGTGCTGGGGTGGGGAGGAGGTAGGTGCTTCCCAAGAGGGATAGTTCTAGGTCACAACCCAAAAAGCAAGCTGGGCAGGCCCTCTCTGCTCCCTTGTTTCCTGGGTTTCTGACCCAGAGGAAGGAGTTTATATGTGAGGTTTCCCTCCTTCCACCTCTGTCTGCTGATGCAACAGGAGATGGTTCTTAGGAACCCTCCTGTAACTGAGCCCCAGGGGCAGGATTTTGCCGGGTTTTGCTGAACTTTAAAGCAGTTGCCCCAGGGGTGCAGTTTAAACCAAATTTGGCAATTTTATTTATTTTTATTTCTTTTAAAGATTTATTTTTACTTATTTGAGAGAGAGCGAGCGAGCATGAGCGAGCAGGAACGGGGGGTTGGGGGCAGAGGAGAGGGAGAAGCAGAGTCCCCACTGAGTAGGGAGCCCGATGTGGGGCTTGATCCCAAGACCCTGAGACCATGACCTGAGCCGAAGGCAGCCACTCAACCAACTGAGCCACCCAGGTGCCCCCAAATTTAGCAATTTAATTTTTAAAAAGATTTTATTTATTTATTTGAGAGAGTGAGAGAGGGAACACAAGCAGGGGATGTGGGAGAGGGAGAAGCAGACCTCCTGCTGAGCAGAGAGCCTGATGTGGGGCTCGATCCCCGGACCCTGGGATTATGACCTGAGCCAAAGGCAGACGCTTGACAACTGAGCCACCCAGGTGCCCCCCAAATTTGGCTCAGTCGGTTAAGCATCCGCCTCTTGGTTTCAGCTCAGGTCACAATCTCAGGGTCATGAGATCAAGCTCTGTTTTGAGCTCTGCGCTCAGTGCCGAGTCCCCTTGGGATTCTCTCTCTCCCTCTCCCTCTGTCCCTCCTCCTGCGCTCTCTCTCTCAAATAAATAAATAAAATTTTAAAAAACAACAACAACAAAAACCAATCGCCCCACCTAGGAATCGCCAGAGGGGAAATAATCTTAGGAGTGGAGAGAATTGCTCTGGAATTTCCTTCTCCCAACATCCAGCCTTTCAGCAGGCCTTGGAGATACAGCGGTGACCAAGGCTGACCCATCACCCCGAATTCAGTCTGATAGAATAAGACAAGTAGTCTTCAGTACAGTGCTGTGAGGGGGAAGCCCAAGGCGCTGAGAGCAAAGAAGGCATTCCCCATGTATGATGGCATAGGCTTTCCAGAAGGACTCAAGACCACGGGTACTGTGGCATCAGATCTGGGCCTGTGGCCCTGGCAAATGACTTGACCTCTGTGGGATTCTTTTGGTCTTTCCACAGTTGCAGGATGGCTGCCAAAGCATGAAGCATTTTTTTCTGTGCTCTTTCTTGTTTGAGGAAAAATACCAAAGGGGTTTGATTGATTAATAAACATTTGGAACATACTTTTTTTTAAGGTAATAATTGCACATGGTAAAAATTCAAGCAGTATAAAAGTATATATATGGCAGCATAAAGTGTCCTTGCGTTCAGAGCCCAGCCCTCCCCAGGGGCAACTAACATTAAAAGTTGCCATTTTCTGGAGATAGTTCCGGCTTCAAATGTCTGATGTGGAGCCTCCCAAGAAAATGATAAAACTTTTCAGACATTAACACATTTCAGTAGAGGTAGAGACTTTGTATTTTCAAGTAACATACAATATTTTAAGTTATGTCAAAGGGCAGAAACAAATGACTTAGGGTTTTTTGGTTTTGTTTTTTAAGATTATTTATTTATTTATTTTTAAGTAATCTCTACACCCAATGTGGGGCTTGAATTCACAACCCTGAGATCAAGTGTCACATGCTCCACCAACTGAGCCATCCAGGCACCCTATGAATGTTTTAGTTTTTATACAGGCCTTCGTGTATGAAGGATGAAACATAATAAATCGTGTGTGCATTTTTTGGAGATGTATGTATTTCCAGTGAGATCAAACTATATTCACTGATCTCTATACCTGCTGCTTTTTAAACCAAACAGTATCCTGGAGATTGTTCAAACAGCACTGAAAGACCTACGTCATTTTTTTTTTTTTTTTTTTTTTAACGATTTGAGATCCTACACATGGGATTGTTGGGTCCAGCAGAGGCTGCAATCTTAAATTGCTAAACTGCCTTCAAAGAGTTTGAATCAATTCTGCCCCTTCTGCAGGGTTGGAAGGGTCTGTTTCCTCACACCAAGGCCAGTGTGGATATTTTCCAGCTTCTTCATCTTTTTTTTGTTTTGTTTTGTTTTTAAAGATTTTATTTATTATTTATTTGAGAGAGAGCATGAGCAGGGGGGAGGAGCAGATGGAGAGGAAGAAGCAGATTCCCCGTTGAGTGGGGAGCCCTATACAGGGCTCGCTCCATCCAGGTCCCTGAGATCATGACCTGAGCTGAAGGCAGCGGCTTAACCGACTGAGCCACCTAGGCGCCCCTTCATCTTTTTTAATCTGATAGATGAAAGCCCTGGTGTTTTACTTTTTATATATTTATGGATAAGCACAAGCATACAGATGTATTTTTTTTAGCTTTATTGAGGTATAGTTGATATACAAAAATTGCACACATTTAATGTGTACATCTTAATGAGTTTTGCATTTCTTTTTAAGACAGTTTTCAACATCTCCAAATCCTGCCTGTGTGTGTGTGTGTATTGAAAACATTTATTGCCGTTATAGGCTCTTGGGGGTGTGATTTAGCAAAACCTCAAAATTAAACTTCACATGTCCTTTGACGCATCAAACCGGTTCCTGGTTATTTATCCAATAGAAAAAAACATGTGAGAGGGACACCTGGGTGGCTCAGTGGGGTAAGTGTCTGCCTTCCCTGGGATCCTGGGATCATGTCCTGCATGGGGCTCCTTGCTCAGCCGGGAGCCTGCTTCTCCCTCTGCCTGCCACTTCCCCTGCTTGTGCTTGCTCTCTCTCTGACAAATAAATTAAATAAAATCTTTAAAAAAAGAAAAAAACATGAAAGATATATATGTATATATCTACTTACCCAGTAGAAAAGACATGAGATATAATATATATAAATGCTTTTATATACAAGTGCTTATATATATAATATATAAATGCTTACTTATATATATTATATATAAATGCTTATATATATAAATGTTTAGCTCAAATATTGTTTGTGGTAACAAATCTGGAAACAACTTGAATACTCATCAATACAGGAATGTTGAATAAATTTGTTTTTATTAATTGATCATTTTTTAATGAATTGCTAATTTAAAAATGAGTCATGGGGTACCTTGCTGGCTCAGTCTATGCAGCATGCGACCCTTGATCTTGGGGTTGTGGGTTCCAGACCTGTGTTGGGCGTAGAGATTACTTGGAAATAAAATCTTAAAAAAAAAAAAAAGATATGGGGCGCCTGACTGGCTCACTGGGTAGAATATGCAACTCTTGATCTCCAAGTTGTAAGTTCAAGACCAGGTTGGGTGTAGAGATTACTTAAAATCTTTTAAAAAACAAATGAGCAGTATATATTTGGTGGGAGTGTCAACTCAGCCTCTATGCAGAACAATTTGGCATTATCAAACTGAAAAATTGAACACGCTCTTTGTTAACAAGCTACTTCGGTTCTACAAATTTATTCTTGTTCATAGGCATCAGAAAGCATTATTAAGTAAAAAAGTTAGGGCCTCGCTCTCCGTTACGACAACCGATGGTTGTTCCGCGTTACCGCGGCTCCTGCCGCGCCTTCTACCGCGCCTTCCCGGCTGGGTCTTGGGGTCTGAAGCCCCGCCCTCCCAACACTTGCCGCGCTCTCGGGCCTGTCACTGCCCCCCCAGCCCCGCCCCCGGGCCGCTCGTCACCGCCCTTGGCCCCGCCCCTGGGCTGCCAGTCACCGCCCGAGCTACCTTTCCCGGGCTCGATCCCGGTCCTCAGTCCCGCCCCACGAGCCTCCTCCCTGCCTTTAGCCCGGCCCCCAGCCTCGTCCCAGCCCTTAATCCCGCTCCCGGGCCTCGTCCTCGACCCAAACACGTCCCCGGGTCTCCCGTCACCGTCCCGGCTCCCGTCCGAATCCCAGCCCCGCCCCCAGCCTCATCCACGCCCCTAACCCCGCCTCCGGGTCGCGTCAGAGGCTCAGCCACGCCTTCCGTGCTCGGGCTTGGCTCCCAGTACCATCGTCCGCGCTCGGTCCAGATCGCCGGGACCCGACCATGTCCCCGCCAGAGGAAAGCTGAAACTCTCCGCCCGCTGTCGGAGGCGGCGGCCACCGCCCTGCCGGCACCTCCGCCACCCGCTGGCGCCCCCGGGGCGAGATCCCGAATCCCCTCCGCCGCAAGCGGAAGTACGTGTCGGCGGGATCATGGCGACTTTGGCCGACCTGCCGGACTCAGTCCTGTTGGAGATCTTCTCTTACCTCCCGGTCCGGGACCGGATCCGCATCTCCAGGTGCGGCCCCGCCCCGCGGGATGGGGGAGGGGACGGTCGGGCGGGGGTGGGGCTCCCCCTGGGATGCGGATCCGGTCCCCGTGGGGCCGGGGCTGTTCTAACGGCGGGTCCCCTCCCCCAGGGTTTGTCACCGCTGGAAGAGGCTGGTGGACGACCGGTGGCTCTGGCGACATGTCGACCTGACGCTGTACACGGTACGCGGGGCCGACCGGGCGGGCCTGGGCCGCGGTCGGGTGTCTGGGCCGCGAGCCCCACTCCCTCGCTCCCTAGATTTCGAGCTGGACGGTCCCGGGCGCATCCCGGCACCGTCGCTTACCTGCTCCGCAGCCTGTTTCCCCATCCCCAAAATGGGGATAACCAAGCTCGTGCAGGGAAAGAGCTTAGAGCCGAGTCTGGCACAGAGTGAGCCTAGGACAAATGTTAGGTGCTTACATTATCTATTAATGAGTTTTCCTGGAGGAATCATTTTCCAGCTTCAACTTAATTTCCAGAATTTATGTACTGTGTAGTGCAACCGAACCTTTTCCACTGTTTCTCATTTGCATCGTATTTGTTTTTCTTGTTTTAGTTTGAACTATTTCAAATATATATAGAAATGTGTAGAGGGTAATAATCTGAAACAACTATGTACTCATCACCTAGATTTAACCCATTTTGACCTTCGGTCATTTTTGCTGCAGATTATGTGAAACATACATGCAAAGGTTTATGTAGACATATACGCACACAACATTTATAGATATATTCGTTGCATTATTTGAAACCCTCCTCAGAGGTAACCACTATTATAAAATGGATTTGTAGTCTTCCGATCACGTTTTTATTTACTTCCTGCGTGAGTGCCGAGAAGCAATATATAGTTTTGTTAATGTGTTTCTGAAGTTTAAATAATGGTATTCTATTTAGGTAATTAAATGCTATTTATTGTACATCTACCCACAACTAGCTTTATTCACACAATATTGCTTTTGAGATTTATTTTAATTGAGACATGTAAATCTTGTTTGTTCCTTTTAACTCATTAAATAAGTATACCACAATTTCTCTATTTTCCTGTTGACAGACATTTAGTTATTTCCAGCTTTTTACTATTCTAAACAGTGTTGTAAAGGAGTGTCTCAGACTTGCCTGTGTATATGAATCACCCAAGGATCTTGTTAAAATGCTGATTCTGATTCAGTGAACTGGATGGGGCCCCAGATTCTGAATTTCTAACAACCTCCCAGGTTTTATGCTATGCACAAATTTTACATTATGCCGTTTCTTTTTTCTTTTTTTTAAAAGGTAAAATGTACCTACATTAAAATGCACAGTGCTTCCAGTTACATTTTTGTTTTCTAGTAATTAACTTTCCAGGGTTAATTTTTGCAGCTTTCACTATTACCAGGTTGTGATGATGATGATTATGATTTTTTAAACATAGGTCTAATTTACTCTAGGCAGTTCTAGGCTTTTTCAGCTTGGTTTTGTGTTGCTTATTTCTACTGGCGGTGGTCATTAAGAAAGGGATAAAATGCTGGTGAGTCGCTTTGCTTTCTTACTTCAGATAATGGGAATCCACTCTTTTTGCTTGCTAAAGCAATAGATTGCTAAAGACAGATCTATTCTGATCATCTCTTTTCCGCCATTGCTTTTGTTCAAACCTGGAAATCAAAATGAATGGGAGGTGCAGGGTCAGATGAGGCTGGTAGGGGAAGGGCAGAAGCCCAGGGGAGCACTAGAGCCCCAGCTGGGGCTTGTCTGTCTCCAGGCAGGCAGGGCCCTTGGAATAGTCTCCATATCCCTCACCCTGTCACCCCCATCTCTGGCTCTTACAGATGCGGCCTAAAGTCATGTGGCATCTCCTTCGCCGGTACATGGCATCCCGGCTCCATTCCTTGAGGATGGGTGGCTACCTGTTCTCAGGCTCCCAGGCCCCCCAGTTGTCCCCCGCCTTGATGAGAGCCCTGGGCCAGAAATGCCCCAACCTGAAGCGCCTCTGCCTACATGTGGCTGACCTGAGCATGGTGCCCATCACCAGCCTGCCCTGCACCCTGAGGACCCTGGAGCTGCACAGCTGTGAGATCTCCATGGCCTGGCTCCTCAAGGAGCAGGACCCCACCGTGCTGCCCTTGCTCGAGTGCATTGTGCTGGACCGTGTCCCTGCCTTCCGAGACGAGCACCTGCAGGGCCTGACACGCTTTCGTGCCCTGCGGTCACTGGTGCTTGGTGGCACCTACCGTGTGACAGAGACAGGGCTGGATGCGGGCCTCCAGGAGCTGAGCTACCTGCAGAGGCTGGAGGTGCTAGGTTGTACTCTCTCAGCCGACAGCACCCTCCTGGCCATCAGCCGCCACCTCCGAGATGTGCGGAAGATCCGGCTGACCGTGAGGGGCCTCTCTGCCCCTGGCCTGTCGGTCTTGGAAGGCATGCCAGCCCTGGAGAGTCTGTGCTTGCTAGGCCCTCTCATTACCCCAGAAATGCCTTCCCCAGCTGAAATCCTCTCTTCCTGCCTCGCCATGCCCAAGCTCAGGGTCCTTGAGCTGCAGGGGCTAGGGTGGGAGGGTCAGGAGGCTGAGAGGATCCTGTGTAGGGGACTGCCCCACTGTATGGTCATCGTTAGGGCCTGCCCCAAAGAGTCCATGGACTGGTGGATGTGACTACCACCCGTCCGTCTCAGCTTTCATTGGGGAGCCCCCCACCTTCTGAATGGCACCTTGCAGAGGGCCTGTAGTCAGGCCAACAGGGCCTGAAAGCCACAGGTAGAGAGAACCGAGGCCTTGGGGCCTCCAGACAATTGGAATACCTGTTTGCCAGTTGTTTGGCCTCTGTGGCATCAGCCAGCCTCCTGGAGGGCCCGTCCCCACATCTGGAAATGGGGAAGATCATAGCTACCTCATGGTTATGTTGCAAAGCCTTAACTCTTTACCAGCCCTGGGCCAAAAAGGTCCTTGATGAAGGGTTGTTCTCAGGAACAGGATGGATGCAGAAGGGTAGGGCTAGGAGTTAGGGGGACCTGAGGGGCCAAGGCCCCTTAGGAGGCCTGGAAAGACTGTCTGTGCATGTGCACCCACACACCGACACACCATTGATACACCTACTTGCACACGAGGGTCATGATGAGAAAGCCAATCAAGACTTAGGCTTTGATGATAAAAGTGTTAATGAAGGTTCTAAGTTGTATTTTCAGTACTTGGTATTCTGTATTTTTCAATTTTTCCACAATATATATTATTTTGCTATTAAAGAAAAATATATATTTTTTTTCAAAAAAGCATTTGGTTTCTTATTCAACAAACGTTTCTTGAGTGCCCACTTTATCATAGACTGTGTTCTAAGCCCTGGGGCCACAGCAGTGAACAAAACAATCCCTGAGTAGAAGGCTGGGCAATCAACAGGAGAAAGCATTGATGGAATAGTTTTAGAGACAATAAACCAGGCTCACGTGATGGAGGTGCCTATGTCTGGTAGAGTGGGCGGGATGAGCTGCTCAAGTTTGGAGACCTGAGAGGTGATGAGGAACCCACTCTGGGAAGCGCTGGGAAAAAGAAAAGACCAAGACAGTGACATGGGGATGAGCTTGACCTTTTTCAGGATCAGGAAGAATCGTGGCTGAGGGAACAAGGGGTGAGCAATAGAAAGTGAAGTCAGAGAGCTGAAGGGGTGAGGTTGGAGGGTCCTCACAGGTGTCACAGGTTTTAAGGGTTCAGTAAGTAGCGACTTCCTGCCTGCTAAGTCTGAGCCACTTGAAAAAAGCAGGTGTCAGGCTGATAGTGACCAGGAGCGCCCGCGCTTGAGATGAGTGTTAACTTCTGATCTGAGCTGGGTAGGAGGTTGTGTGTGACTCTACAGGTTCACCACCTGCCCACCAGCCCAGCCTGCCTGCTCAGTGGCGGGCAGAGCCAAAAGAGAAAACAGGGCTGAGCTGGGACTCTTGGTTCCTTGTTCCAAGCTCACTTACCAGAGGACCTGGGTGTCTCTCCCATGCTTTCCCACTAGTGGGTGGAGCGGAAATTCCGCATCAGGCCACATGAGGACTATGGTATGAGTACTCCCCCAGTGGGGCCATGGGTGGGGTCTACTTGTCCCATGCTGTCATCAAAACTGGCAGCTCCAGCCCAGAGCACCTGGGGGACTAGACTGATGCAGGCTGGGGTGTTGGGACTGGAGAAGTCTCAGGTTAGGGAAAGAGATCTGTTTTAAGGGTGTCTGGAGACCTGAGGTCTGTTGTCGGGAGTATGATGGAGTCGCCAATCCCAGTCTTCCACTGGGCTCTGCCAGTGGTCCTGGAGTAGGCTGCTGATGCCCCACCCAGAGCAGCTCGAGGAGGAAAGCAAGTTTCCTTCCTTTCTTCTTGCTTTTCCTGCAGAAATGGAGCAGAGGTATGAAACTGGAGGCAGTGGTAAACATGGAAGTGTTTAATGGCCATCGCTAGCAAGTAGTGATGGGGTGCGGGAGCCCTAATTTGTAGTGTTTGCCCATTTCTGGGGTGTAAGTATCCCATCATAGCTGGTTTCAAGCTACCAGTAGTAGCTGACTCACTAACAGCTGGCTCACAAAATTCCTGCAAGTTTAGCAATTGACCCCCCTGATCTGGCATGAGCTGACTTCAGCATGCCACTGGATAGTGGTGTCTTTCTTCCAGGCTCACCCAACTTTAGTGACGCCTTCCCTCAGCTTAGCTCTGAGGGGTGGGTAGGCAAGCTGAGCAAGTTTAGAACTGGCTAGTTTGAATAATTTTGGTGGGCTAGAGGCTCTAGAGGTTGTCCCTAGTTGTCTGTTACTTGGCCCTGGGGTGATTTAGGGCAGAGGGACTATTTGCTGTGTAAGGCTGAGATCAAGGAGGTAGTTGGATTGGTCGGTTTGCATATGAAAGTGTGCTCGGCGGCACCCCTCAGAGGGGTGGTCCTTACCCAGGTTTGCAAGGCCCTAAGGTGTCAAAGCATCACAAAATATAGAAAATTAAAAAAAACATGACTAATACACCCTCCATTGAAAGTAAAGGATAATCACAATAGCAAACTTTAACTGAGTATCTATTTTGTGCCAGGTGCTATGCTCAGTAGCTCATGCATGGACTTCTTCCAGCAGCCCAATGAAGAGCTCTATTGAGGTATGATTCACATAAATAAACAGCACATATTTAGGTGCATAATTTGATGAGTTCTGACAAGTGTACACTTGCGAAACCATCAAGATAACAAATACTTCCATAACTCCCTAAAGTTTCCTTGTGGCTCCTTTTAACCCTCCCTCCGTCCCTGTTCCCAGGCAAATACTGATCTGCTTTCTGTCACTATAGATTGTTTTTATTTTCCTAGAATTTTATGTAAGTAGAATCATATATTATATACTTTGTATGTGTGTGTGTGGGGGGGCTCTTTTCTTTCACTCACCATAATGATTTTGAGATTCATCCAGGCTGTTGTAGGAATCAAAAGTTTGTTCCTGAGTAGTATTCTGTCATATGGCTAGAGTAGCACAATTTGTTACCCATCCATCTTTTTTTAAAAAAGATTTTATTTATTTATTTGCCAGAGAGAGAGAGAGAGAGTGCACAAAGCAGGGGGAGCGGCAGGCAGAGGGAGAAGCAGGCTCCCCGCCAAGCAAGGAGCCTGACATGGGACTTGATCCCAGGACCCTGGGATCATGACCTGAGTTAAAGGCAGCCGCTTAACCGACTGAGCCACCCAGACGCCACTACCCATTCATTTTTTTGATGGATATTTGTGTTTAAACATATGTTTTTTCTTAAAATAATTTTTCCTGATATTAAAAAATAACATGTTTGTAAAGAATTTTAACATTATAGAAAGTGAGGGGCACCTGGGTGGTTCAGTTGGTTAGCATCTGACTTTGGTTCAGGTCATGATCTCAGGGTCCTGGGATCAAGTGAGCCCTGCATAGGGCTCCCTGCTCAACGGCGAGTCTGCTTCTTACCCCCCCAGCCACTCCCCCAACTTGTGCTCTCTCTTATTTATTAAATAAATAAAATCTTATTTAAAAATTATAGAAAGTGAACCTTCTTCTAATCCTAGGTCCCAGAGGAAATCACTGTGAGAAGTTAGATTTATAATCTTCTAGAATTTTGTCTACTATTGGGACTTTGGAGAAAAATCAAAGACATTACTTGTTTTTTTTTTTAAGTTTGTTTACTTTTTTTAAAAAAGATTTTATTTATTTAATTGACAGAGAGAGACAGAGGGAACACAAGCAGGGGGAGTGGGAGAGGGAGCAGCAGGCTTCCTGCCGAGCAGGGAGCCTGATGCGGGACTCGATCCCAGGACCCTGGGATCATGACCTGAGCCGAAGGCAGTCACTTAACCAACTGAGCCACCCAGGCGCCCCAGTTTATTTACTTTTTTTTTTTTTAAAGATTTTATTTATTTATTCATGAGAGACGGAGAGAGAGAGAAGCAGAGGGAGAAGCAGGCTCCCAAGGAGCAGGGAGCCTGATGCGGGACTCGATCCCAGGACCCTGGGATCATGACCTGAGCCGAAGGCCTTAACCATCTGAGCCACCCAGGCGCCCAGTTTATTTACTTTTTTAAGTAATCTCTGGACCCAACGTGGGGCTCAAACTCATGAACCCGAGATCAAGAGTCACACGCTCTTCCAAATGAGCCAGCCATACACCCTAATCAATGACATCTCTTAATCTCCCTTCTGAGTTTGAGACCAATCACGGGAGTTAGAGATGGAAACATCAGCTTCATGAATAACAAAACCTGGATTGAAGCATGCCGGTTTCGCTATGCATCCCCAGTTGGCCTTATGATGTTTTACTGCTGCATTTGTCAAATGTACTTGGGCACAGTCCAGCTGGTCAACCACGAAGCTCCTCTGGATGCTTCCCGTATGGCCCCAGCCTATCAACCTAGCCCTTCTCTGGAGTCTCACAGACTCCCAAAGGGAGAGAGAAAGGGTAAGATTTGAAGACGTTCAGTTCTTTCTTCCAAACCTGCTAGTGAGATAAAGAGTATGCGTGTGTACATGCAGAGGTCACTTCAGCAGACATTTGCCCTCCTTGGACATGGAAAGGCAGAGGAATGACGTTTTCTCCCTAATGGACTAAAATAGAGGCATACCTGTTTTGTGTCAGTCTCAGCCTGTAATAGTGATGCTACTGGTTAGGAATGCCTGGGGCCACTCATCTGGGCCCCTACTACTGGCAGTGAGTCCCCACAGACATTGCCCCGACTGGAGCCAATGTTGTGACTGGACCCACTCTTGTGGTTCTTATTATGATTGCAAGCCACACCTCAGCAGCAACTATCAGATGACTTTGAAAAATAAGATTTATTACTCACAAGTCCTGGAGGGTACATGGCATACCCAAGATTGCCAGGAAAGAGAGAGAGAGAGAGCACAGTCCTGGGGTTCTGTCCTTATTGGGGGTTAATGATGGGGTGGAGGGCCTAGGGTTTTGTGGATTCACTCTTTATTGGTGAATTTTGTTAACCTTAAAAATAAAACAGTTATTTTACCAGCAAAAAAATTGGGTTTATTCAGGAATAACAGAGAATTACAATTCAGGACATGCAGGTTATGGCAAAAACCATAGGCAAGTCTGGGGAACAAAGGAGAGGAATGCTTTTTTATTGAGGAAAGAAGGGACTTGGGAGGGGTTATTATAAGCAAAAAAAGTCCGTTAGAGTAAACTGAGAGTTTGAAGTATAGTGGCTTCTCATTGGCTGAGGTGTGCAGGTCTTTCATTGGCTGGGCTGTCGCTGAGCTAGGAGTAAATCTTTCCTCCAACTGCTGGGGTAGTAAATGTGCAGGTTTCTTCCTGTTGAGAATACAAGGTATGTCTCTTCCTGTTCATTCGGCAAAGGGCTGCAAGA